AAATAATGCTGGCTAGCTTCCCGGCAGGAGGAATCTCCCCAGCCTCCCAAGACCTTTGGTAGGTGATTGAGAGGGGTCCTGCCATAACATCCTCTAGCTCCTTCATTACTCTGGGATGAATCCCACCAGGCCACACGGACTTGTGAACATTCAGCTGATACAGCTGGTCCCTTACAATTTCAGTGTCCGCAAACGGAAAGTCACTGTTCCCACACTCATGGTCCTATAACTCAGGGCACTGGGCAGCCCAAGGTCTATCTGTATTATTAAAGACCGAGGCAAAAAAAAACATTGAATGCCTCCGCTTTTTTTTCATCCCTATGAGTTAGATGACCATCTGCAACAGGTATTGGTTCGATGTTTTCTTTAGACCTCCTCTTGCTATTAACATACTTAAAAACCTGTTGTCTGATACAACACCAGCCCGTTTCAACTCTAACTGAGCTTTGGCCTTTTGTGTCTTCTCCCTGCGTGTACGAACCACAGCTCTGTAACCTTCCTGCAAAGCCTAACCTCACTTCCAGAGATCATACAGGTTTTTTTTCCTCTTGAGCTCCATGATGAGTTCCCTGTTCAGCCAAGCTGGTCTTCAGCCCCACTGGCTTAACTTACGGCACAGTGGAATTACCTGCTCCTGTGCTGCTAAAAGGTGGTTCTTAAAAACTGACCAACACTAGTGGACCCTTAAGCCCTCAAAAGCAGATTCTCAGGATACTCTGCTAAATAGCTCCCTGAGTAGCCTAAGGTTTGCTCTCCTGAAGTCCAGGGTAGCAACTCTGCTGTCCTTTTTTCTCATTACACTGAAAATTTTAAACTCAACCATTTCACAATCACTGTGGCCAAGGCAGCCACCTACCATCACATCTCCCACAAGCCCTTCTCTATTCACAAATAAGAAGTCTAGGAGGTCATCTTTCCTAGTAGGCTCACCAAGTACCCGTGACAAGAATTTATATCCTACAAACTTCAAGAATTTCTAAGACCTGCTCATTACAGCAGTATGATATTCCCAGCTGACGTCCGGGAAGTTGAAATCTCCCATAAGGACAAGGGCTACCTATCCAGAAATTTCTCCAAATTGCCTGTAAGATAACTTCTCAGTGCTAACATCCTGGCTGGGCGATTGGTAGTAGACACCCACTATGACATCTCCTTTTTTTTCCATTCCCCTAATCCTCACCCAGAGGCTCTCAACCACATCACCACTAACTGTGAGGGCTGTACAATCAAACCTCTCCCTTATGTACAGTGTGACATGTGCACCTCACCTGCCCTGCCCACCCCTCCTGAAGAGCCTGTGGCCCTCCGTCCCAGCACCCCAGTCATGGGACTCATTCCACGGAGTCTCACTAACACCAATGATACCAAAGCTCTGGGAGCTGACCAATGCTTTCGGTTCATCCTGTTTGTTTCTTATACTGCGCCCACTGCTGTACAAGCATTTCGGATATGCTCCTAAGCCCTCCGTGCTCCTGAGAGTAGCGTCCATGTTCCCACTAGCACTGGCACCCTCAGGCGATGCCATGTCAACGCTTGGCTTACCTTCAGCAATCCCGTTGGTATCCCCTTCCTCCACTGATTCTAGTTTGGTTACCTTACCGTTAAGCAACTTAACTCCAGAGAGTTTCATCATCATCTCATATTTCCCCTTTCTTTTATGTTTTTGCCAGTAGAGCATGTAACTGCAAGAAGTATCTGCAAAAGAAGTTTTTCCTGCGCTAATACAAGTCAGAAGGTCAAAGTGGGATTAAAAGTAGTACTGTTGCTGATAGTTACACCCTTAAAGTGTGCTGCAAAGGCTGTCACACACAGAACTTATTTTACTGTTGCAGTTTACTGTTGGTGGGCACAACAAACCCAGCCTTCTATTACACCTTTTTACAGACACTGAAAATAAAAATTATAACCTTATCCAAAGACGCTATCAAATAAAGATAGCTGAATTCCCACATAAGGCATGTTTATATGACTGGATAATTCTGAAAAATTCATAAAACAGTACTTATTTTTTGGAGGTCATCATGCATCTACTGATGATTACTGCATTAGGTGTACTTTATAGTTGAAGTCCTTAGGGTGTCAACAATTTTCCTGCTATGCATACACAGTTTCTTCACACAAGCTTATTCTTCAGTGAGTCTCTATAATGACAGGTGACAGTTTTTCTGCTGGTCAGGTTTTAATACTATGAGCTCCAGCTTTGGCATCCCCTTAGTACTCTAGCCTAGAAAAGTAGATTTCACCAAAAGCTCTGCTTTCACAGCAAAATTAATGGTTTCAATGTATCGGAACATCATCCGCAATACAAACTGTAAATGAAAACAGATATAAGGTAGTAATTATTTTTTTCCCCTTTAAGGTACACTCAGTGTAAGCCTTTTTATGTTTGGAAAATTTTGCTGACTAACCAATAACTGTACGTTTAGGTAATTTCATATGTTATAGTGTTTTATTCTTGTGAATACAACTTAATTGAATTGTTGGTTAGAATGTACAGCAAAGGTGGACTCAGATGTTGGGTCTAGCAACATGAACAGCAAAACTTCAACAAAATTTCACTGAAAATTCTGAGGGTTCAGATTAGCAATAGGATTACCTATTTCCAATCAGTTTTCATATCAGATTTCTAAAGAAAATCACAGTTAAGCCAAATCCTCTAAACATTCTAACGTCTAATACATTTCAAAATCTTCAGCTCTTGGATTCAAAGGTGTGCAATGCAGAGTGCGCTCTGAAAAGGAAACTAAAAATTACTGGTTTACTTATTAAAAACTTCAGTTTTCATAGTGTCAGCAAAAAGTATCTTATTGAAATTGCATCCACTTTCTAGTGGTTTTTATAATAAATATTTAATTATTCATAAGATTTCAGGGATATGTCCTGATTCAAGTAGATAGAAGAGTAAATGTCAAAATATCAGTATATCTAACTTTTTCAAAATATTAAAATAATTTATATACATTAGTATTTCAAAGTACAAACTGTTTTGCTGGTGTGAATAAACAGAGATCTAGCATATAACGTTTTTGTTGCAGTCAAAACTTCAGGATAAAAAAAATTTTTATTTAACTGCTGAAAGTGCAGACAGCATATATAGCTTAGCCCACACCACTGTTACCCAGTGATTCATCTTCTATGCAACAAGAGTACAGCAGGAAATGCCACCAGGTCTTAATTTAATTGTGTGGCTGAACAGTATGAGTGATCAACGAGTTCTAATGCAGCAGGCATAGCAATAGAATTGTCCTAGAAAGCTGAATATCTGATCTCAATAAGTGTGCTTTTGGACTAAGAAGCCATATTTCCAGTTAGGGTTTGAGTTTTGTACTACAAGTATCCATACCAGTTTAATTCTTTCTATTTACATTTCATCCTATTCTATACAATTCCCCTTCAGCTTTCTTTACAGCATAGGTCATGTAACTGTAGTTAAATAAAGAAAATTGCCGGTTTGGACACATCAATATCGCGCCCATGTCTAGCCAAATCAGCAGCAATATTAGGTATAGGTAGCCCTGTTTGACAACAGCAAAGGAGCACTAGTCTGGTGTAGCAGAGAACTTCTGTTTTGCTTTATTTTATTTGTTATGTTAAGAAAAATCTAGGAATACACACTGACAGCTGTTCTTTAAAATTTGCTGTAATCAAGCACAATGAAGATCATCCATATTATAAACCACACTAATTTCTCAGTCAGGGATGAGTTCAGCTATAAAAAGTAACCTAACCAACATGTAAATTGTGGACTATATAAGCCATATAAGGCTTTACTTTCACCAGTAGCCTTTTGAGTTATTGATTACATCCCTGAAACGGTGGTTTCAACTCATTGCTTGCAGGTGCTGATTCAGACTGTGATGGCTCTGAATCTGCAATAAAAAACAAGATTAAAGTTCTTAAGATAGCTTCAACCGTAAGAATAAAAAGTTCAACTAAAACTTTCAGTTTCTCTTTCTAACAAGCATGTAAATTGTGGACTATACAAGACATATAAGGCTTTACTTTCACCAGTAGCCTTTTGAGTTATTCATTACATCCCTGAAACGGTGATTTCGACTCATTGCTTGCAAGTGCTGATTCAGACTGTGATGGCTCTGAATCTGCAATAAAAAAAAAGATTAAAGTTCTTAAGATAGCTTCAACCATAAGAATAAAAAGTTCAACTAAAACTTTCAGTTTCTTTCACGTCAACATGTGTGCAAACTGCAGTACATTTAAATTTTAACTAACAAGACAGACAAGCTGTCTACAAAGTTTGCAGTATGATGCAAATCTATAACCCAATACAAATGGATTATAGATTTACACATGGAATGGGTTATATCTCCTGGTTGATGTGTCTCGGACTTAACCTGTGTAAGAGGTCACAGAGCAAGCTCCACCTCAAAAGGGAGCTGCAAGGTGCTCGTGCTGCCAGCTGCTTTCGATGAGCAGACCAAAGTAGCGAAGCAGGAAGCAAATACAAGCACTACCTTCAGTGCATACTGGAAATAATGAAAAGGACAAGGTCAAAAGTGAATCAAGGTGCATGTCTGGATGAAACCATGCTGTTGAAAGCATTAAAAAAATCTCCTTCTACATTGAGATAGAGAATCGGTCTCAATTGGAATAGCTATTATTGACAAAGGAGGGTAATACAAGCAAAGCAGGTGTCATAGTATCTAAGAATTTGTGAAAGAAAAGCATCTCAAAAATAAGATGAATCTATATATCAAACTATGCAGCATATTGACTTTTCAGCAGCCTTTAGAGTATACCCATCATCTTGTTCTCTATGCCTAAGTGGTATGACCAAACCAATATCATCATTACTCTTAAAATTTAAATCTGAGGCTTTCTTTATATCCCAAATGTCCCATTAGAGGCACATTTCACATTAAAAAATCAGCTATCACCAAAGGAATGAATTTGACGTTTCGAAAATCCTAAATCCTTTCATTTTACTCACAGTAATGAAAAAGAAAAATGTCAGTGCACAGGGAAGTTAAATGGAATCTGAAGTCAGAAGCAGAATATTCAAGGTTTTCTTTCATGCTAGAGAAGGGCACTTTTAGGCTCCATGGTTGAACTGTTAGGTTATAGCATCTCCCAAGTCAGCATCCTCTGCATGATCAGAGTTTGGATACTTAAGTTGACTTTGAAGAGCGGCTTCTCAGGCTGTGCACCCTCTTCCAGGTCCAGACTGAGTTCTGGCTTCATCCTTCAGTTTTACAGCAGTTTTTCTTCTGAACAATAACACACAACTTCTAGTTTTCTGTTTGCCTGTTTTCTTCTGATACTCACCTGGAGGAAGAGGTTCTGCACACAAACACACAAAAAAAGTTACTGTAGATATAGTAACGGAAGACACAAAGATGAATTCAGGAAGTGCTAAAGTGTCACACAAACTAAATTAATGAACCTCTAAGACTTCCACACATTGACATATCAAGCTCAAGGGAGTCATGGCAATCCCCAGTGTATCACGAGCATTCAGTGATACAATTAAAAAAAAAACCTGGAGCTAGTAATGTGTAAGTTCAACAGCATTTTAAAAGGTTGCTGTAGAAAATGGATATACCCCCCGTGATTACCAAGCCACTGTAAAAAGCCTAAGCGAAAGGTCTTTGAATTAAGGGGAATCTTCCACCCTTCAGCCTTTACATATAAGTGTTTTCAAGTGATGCATTTCATAGCTATTACCGTTGTGCATCACAAAGTAAGGTTTGAAATCATAAGTAAACATTGGATAATTTTTTTCCTCTCTAATAAAACTGTTGCAACTCTACTGTATTCAATGATGTGCGTATATTTATTTTGACAAATTTTTATGAACAGTGATCTATTTCTTAAAAATTACTATAGATGTCATTTATCACAGAAGTTCTCAGAAAAATACTAGGGGCAAAAGACTATTCACAACAAATTGGCAACAAATATTTTACCATCTGTTTACATTTAGGCAGGAGGATGGCTGTGTCTCTGCAGCATTTTACAAAAACACATCACAGAGAAGCCCTTGGATCAGAGCAGAGCATACTTCTGCAACTGTAAAGATGAAAAAATCCATGAAAGCCCCCGCCTTCGCTGACTACAAACCGGAGCACTCTTTTCTGTAGCTGGTCATAAGGTATTGTAAGCTAAGCATAGTAATTCAGAAAGTCTCACCATATCCAAAGAGAGTCACACAAATTTTTCAGGCCACCATCTGCTGTTACCTTGAGATCCCAACTCACTTTAAAAGAAACAGCTTTCAATAATTTTACCTTTGGACTGCTCAGTATTTTCTGATGTTTCTTGAATCTTTTTTCCCCGTGCAGTACGCTGCTGAAACCAGTCAGTCCCATAACCATTGCTAATTAATTTGCTAAAGTCTACTGCTTCGCTTTTTCTCTGAGCAGGCCTGTAAGTCCAAATGTATTAAGGAAAACAAGAGCATAAGTAAACAAAAATGGGGATTAGGTAGGAAAATTTCATTTTGCACAGAAAGGGCAATAGCCTTATAGCACAATTTATTTGGAAGTAACTAAACATATATTCTACATGTAATCATCGAAGGGAAAAAAAAAAAATTAAAACAACCCCAAAGCGCACAACTATGCCTGATTCAGTAATGTGTAATTTCACATAAGAAGCGCCATCCATTTTATTGGAACTTCAGATGTACAATACTTACACAGTTCTGGTCTTAGAGACGAAAGAGGGAAATCACACAAAGAATGTGTACGTAAAAAAGGCTGACAATACTCATTCTGTGCTGCACGAAGGTGAAATTTTGTCACAGATTTGCTCATAAGTTCATTAGACAGTTTGAGCACGTATTTTACATCATTAACATATTTCTAAAACATACTGGGATTACTGGTGACTGTGTAACAAATTTTCAAGACAAAGTACACAGAAACAATTCAGTTGTGCATGCAGCTGACGATGTGATTACATCACATCATAGGTGATATAATAATTTGCTTAAAAGACTATTATCTTCCAGGTGTTCATTACGGTATTTTTGCTGTGCCTGACCTTATATAGGCTACAGTTTATGTGTTTTCTTAAAACAGTAGTCCTACTCGTGTCTCTGTAAGTTATGCTTAAAGAACCAACAATGTACCTCATAGCTTGCATCTGTTCACTGGTATTGAGAAAAAAACCAGACAATTTAGAATACAATAAAGGTGTGCTACATGCTGTATGTCTTAGTTTTCCTAAAGCAAAGTTACATTGAATAGCTTTCCTGTATGAGATAAAGTGCTATTATTTTAGTTGTTGGTAAAATTATTTTAGTATCAGACATGATAGCAAGTTTAGTAGCAGTGAGGATCCACAAATCCGTACATACATCCATTAATATCTGCAATTTCACCAGGAGTAATATTAATTGCATGCATGAACAGCTGCAGGCTTAGGAGTTTAGCGAATTTCGTAAGCATACTACTTACACAGGTGGGAAGGAAAGCTTATTTTTCCCACTAAAGTCCTTGTTTGTAGAAACATTCGGCATTCTGCTTGGATATTTAGGGTTTATAGCTGGGAGCTTTACCTGTGTTTGAGAAATGTTAATTAATAAAAGGAGTTACGAAAACAACCAAAAAGACTATATAGTAATACAACCTTCAAAAGTGAAGGTTATATTAAAGGCCCTAAATGTCTTCAAATTTTACTATCTTATCTGTATTATTTTCATAAGTAAGAGTAGAGGAGTATAAAGGAACAGCAAAAGATAAAGCATCACCTTAGCTAGTTATTCTAGATGAGATCAGCTGTTTGTTCATTATGTCAATAATGCAAAATGTGCTCTCCACAGGCTTTTCCCTCACAGTACACTTCTATCCGGTTAAGCTTCTAATTCAAACCTACCTGTTGCAGCCTTTCATCTTGGCTCATTTCCCTGTATGCAGTGTATGAAGACATCCCAGTCTTATTAAAGTCAGTGGGAACAGAAATTCATTTCCAGTTTAATTCCTGCTTTTTTTTGGTATAAAAAGCATAAAACATCCCATATAATAAGAAAACAGTTGTGGTACATTAAATAAAGGTTTGAAATGTGAACAAATAGAGATACATTGGGGGAAACCAACAACAGAAAAGTGTATTTTAATTTTCTCATCTTTCACTTGTTAATGACAGGTAAAGAAACTTAGTACTGACTGAAAGACAGACAGATAAGATGACACCTAGAAAGCCAGTGCAATGACATCACAAACTGTAGAACTGAAAGTTGGAAAACTAAATAGTAGTGGAGAAACAGCAACACGTATCAAAGCTGTTTATTTTAACTTCAATTAAAATCAACAGCTGCTAAAGGGTCAACTTACTTCCCTCTCAAATAAAAGCATTAAATTAAATATTCCCAACAATTCCCAGATATTTTTGACTACTAGCTGCTAAGAAATTCTGAGGTTAAATTAAAAAACAAAACGTCTTTATAGACTATTTATGGCTTCCATCATTGCATGAAAAAAGAGAGGAAAAAAAAGTCCTGAGAGCAGCACAAAATTTTCAAAGCTTATTAAAAAAGGTTTTGTGTTGCACTAATACATCCTTTTAATTAGAACCTACATATTATTTGACCAATTTCTCTTTTAAACATGCAACACAGGAGAACGCCCTATACGATAAAAGATACTACTTGCAGGTCATTTAAAAAAAATTAGGACAGGGTAACTAGAAGTGAGATGTATTGATCTATAAATTTAAAAGTAAAGATACTTTTCACCTATGTGGAGATACCTACTGCAATACAGGTAAGAGAGCAAACAATTATGAACAGAGTGCAAAAATTAGATGCGTCAGCAACAGATGCACTTGGATTGCAGACACTACAAAACAACTCCCATGAAAATATCCATGAGGAGAAAATTCCAAAATAGATGTAAACACACCACAGACTTCTCAAGGAGCCCATGCACATTTACTATGGAAAAAGCAGGAAAAGTATAACAGCATTTGAAAACATCTAATCAGTGAACTAATTAATAAGCCACTAAGAGAAGCAGATCTGAATGACCTGGGAGAAAGTGAAGCCTAGGACAGATGGTTCTACTGATTCTGAAACAGGATGTCAGTGCAAACCAACATGTTAAGTCAGTGCTGAAATCCCTATAGACTTCAGTGGAGTCAGAAAAACTCAGAAAAAAAAAAAGTCAGAAAAAAAAAAGCAGAAAAATGGATGGGCTACTAGATTTCAGCCCGACTGATGTGATGTTGAAGCTTAAAGAGATGAAAAACTGGGACACTTGTCAAAGAAGAAGAGGTGATACTAGCAAGAGCATACAGTGATGCTGGAGGCAGGGCTGTCAGATGAAGAGGGGATCTGTTGTCCAACCTGGAGGTTAAAAAACGCATTAGCTGCTAGGAACTGCTTTTCAAATCCATTAACACTACTCTCTCCTGTAGCAGCCTACTTGTGCTTTACATTTCAATAATGCTATCCTATTGTGCAAAAAATAATAGTGCTGCTTTCTATCTACCATTAAACTGCCCCAGTTCAGATCTGACATACCATGGAAGTTTCAGATCCAGGACAGAGCTACATGCAGTCTCAACTGACAAAGCCAATTTAATTAGACAAGTAGAAACCATCAATCTCAGGTAATTTTTGGCACATTTTGAAGGCACGATGGCACACAGGGCATCACAGAAGCACAACTTGATTCGATAGGCAGGATACACAAATAGTAGATGGAAAGAGATGAGACCACTCTTGGCATTGACGAGAAGCATTAGAAAAGGAAGACTAGTAATTAGAGTTAATTAAAGGACATAGGGAGAGGGGAAGCCTAAAGAGATTTTGTCTAGAGATAGACAAAGGCCCAACTGTCAAAACTAAGTCAAGGAAAAAAAGGGGAAAGGAAAGACAACGAGACAAGACTCAAAGGCTGCTAGCAAGTCTCGCACATCATTTTAAATGTTGTCTTTCTTTTCCTGGTATTAAATGAGACAGGCTAGCATAACTTGCAGGTATCAAAACATTCCCTACTGTTTGAATCAGCTAATGAGTGACAAAAGGAGCAAGGGAACAGATTGGAATTTGGTTTCAGAGGGCACCTGCAATCCCATCAGGTGCTATTTTTTACTTTGCTGGGCAAATTCAGCGTTAAAAGCAGACCTTTGTCCCACTACACCCCAACGGCTATAACACCCTCAGTTACAAAGCTGAGGAGGCATTTTCACGTTGACAAGCCTCTATATAACAGCCATCAAGTTTCCCAAATAAAGCAAGCTATGTAGGACATTTTCTACATATTCTCAGTTTCAAGCGTTCTCTCCCTTTTTGAAGAGATGGCAATGACATACTCTAAAAATTACCCCATAAATTTATTATGCATAAGCATTTATTAGTCTCAGATTCAAGAAACATGAAATGTGCTATGTATGGTGCCTGGATGGTACATGAAGAACAATGGATACCTGGTGCCAGCACAGAAAGCTAAAAGCCCCCGGATGAAGGCCTGGCTCCCCTGTGACCAAGGGAAAAATTCTAGATTACATTTAAAATCTCCCTCTGAGACAAAATTCTGACCTCAGATGAGAAATCGTTTTGCTACAGCACATACATACATACATATGTATGCATATATACCCATACATTTCAGGCAAGGGCCTGAAAGAGATGACTTCAGACACAAAGCAGTAATCTTACAAGTGCCACAGGAAGATTGCCTAATACCGATGATAACCCTGATACCACCTCCAGCTGATGTCCCACCCACATACAGGCCTGCATCCTTCCTAAAATCACAGCATTTTAAACCCAACCCAGATGGTCCACAGGATGCGTAGGCAAAAGGATGTTTCCACCTGGGCTAGTAGTCCATCACTTTGTTGTGAGCACAAAGTGTAAATCCTTCATGTACTAACACGACTTCGCTGCTTTGCAAAATTCCCAAAAAATGAGAATTATGCATGTGATTAAGGCATTAGGGAGGAACTACAGGATGCATCCCGAGACATAGAGGACCATGTAATAGCCCCCCTGATCTCCAGGCCTTCTCTATGCAGTGACAACCATAATATGAGGAACAGTGGAGATTCTAATACTTCAGAACAAAGTGGCATAAAGGTTTAAAGCTCCAGAGCAAGGACCCAGTTGGGAACAATGTTTTTCAAACTGAGTAGAACAGATACCCTTAGAGACTAAAATGTTTTTGCACTTGTCCCTAAGGGAGCCCTTTGGGATTTATCTCCACGATTGCATCACATATCTCTCTTCTGAACAACTGCTTAGTCAGATTGGACTGAAAAATATTTTCAATATGTTCAGCCTCAATACTTGACGTAGTTTGCTGCAGCAGTATCATCATGTAGTCAAACAAATAAATTGAAAATTCCTTAGAAATTTGCTTGTGGTTTTTTTTGGAATACACCTCTTACATTTCAACATACAAGATGTACAGTGAGAAAACTAAAATCGAGACTGTTTGGTAGGGCTAGTTCCTTTGTCTCACTCGAAGACTCTTCAGGAAGGTACACTTAAAGCACAGGATAGAAACCGTCTCTAAGAAGAGATGACAGCTGTGAAAGAAATGCCATGTGATATTTCAAGATATATGAGATGCCTTCCAGGATACAAGAAAGGTATGGTGAAGGACAACCATTTCAGAAAGAGTAGTGTAGAGGCAGAGATAAAGCTAGAGACACAGGATCTGCGTTCTCAGGCACCTAATCTTAAAGAAAAAGATTTGGCAGATTTAGTACCTTAGCCAAAACTCAACTTCAGCTTTAAGAAGAGCAGTGTAAATTATATATCAGGGCCTCGGCAGATTTGGGATCAGAGCTGAATATGTAACATATATTCACTTTGTATTTGGTGATAATTAAAACACATGGGAACTTTCATTCACATGAAACTGGGTCTTGATCAAAATCCACCCAAACAGAAATGGACCTCAGTCTCACTTCAGCAGTCACCACACAGACTTGAATTACACTTACTGTTATCAGAGTTAAATTTTACTCTTGGAGAACTGAAGATAATTGGTTCTTAAGTAAGGGAGCAAGGGACAGCACACCATCTCCCTCCTAGTTCGATCCTTTAAGAGGCTCTGTGGCAGGCTACATTTCTATTTTCAGTGCCTTAAATCTCTGATTGAAAAAAAGCTTCACCTACAAGCATCAGTCAAATTATAGTTTAAGCATATGTTGCTTGTTTGCCTGTTTCTACAGATGAAGCAAAGATTCCCAAGCCTATTCAGAAATGAGGTACTCCCATTTACACAAGCCATCATTCTGAATTTGCACTACTTACTAATCTCAGCAAAAGTTAAGTACTTTTTTTTCCTAAAACATCCAGCATCTGCCCCTCTGTTCAAGAACAGAGGTACTGGTGTTCAAGTACATCAGATGCCTTTCATGTATACTCCAAAGACCTATGGTAAATGAGGCAGCCAAGGTTATGGAGGATATTAAAAAAACATAAGGCTTCAGTATCTAAAATGGGCAGAGACAGGGAGGATGAAAGCAGGAAGACAGGAGAGAGGTTTCCAGGACAGAACACCAAGATGATTACAGATAGGTTTGTTCTGGGCGTAGCCTGTGCTGTACTTACTCTGTTCTGCCTACATCTTCTGTTCAAAGACAGCTAGTGTGATATCTTTGGGGACTCTCTTGCATTTTACACTAAAACCAACCTCTTTTTCCGAACAGTCTTCTGTTCCTTCCTGCTGCTTCTTTCCTCTTCCCCCAAGATCGCTAAACAAGAATTCTGTTCACCAATTGTGAATTGCAGAGGAAATAAAACATAAGAATATAGAAACTAACTCCAGGCTTTCACACTTGTGTACACGCACCAATAAATAAAACATAAGAATATAGAAACTAACTCCAGGCTTTCACACTTGTGTACGCGCACCATATAATGTGGTCGGAAACTGAATTTCCATTACGTATGCTATACCTGCAGCACTGAAGAGAAACACATCTTTCTTCTCATTCCCTAACTGCAACATAAAAATTGCTTCTGGAATACAGAAACTTGCGTGGACTACAGCTTCCATTCTGTAAGAACCCACAAACCCAGCTAGAAGTGTCTTCACAAGCTCTACAACCAAAGCATCGTCCCAGAGTGCCTCTCCATCATACCTTCTTTTTCTCTGCATTTTCTTTGTCCTCGGCATCCCGCTGCCAAATGCTTTTCATATCAAAATCAAAAGGTCCTCTGCTTGTCTCATAACTGTTACCACGATGGTCATCAGCCTTAAACTCTCTGTGAACCATATAATCTGGTAGAGAGGAAACATAGCTCCTGCAGGCAAAGATTTAACACTTGTTTGTGCAACAAATTTGACACAGTATCTTGCACCTTAGTATAGAAGTATTCTGAAACACCAACAGGTGAAGAGAGAGCCCAAGAAGTTATGCAGGGTCTCAGCAGGCTTACCGTGGCTCATTGGTCGCTGGGGGATTGGAGCAGTGCGAGTACCAGTCAGGCAGAACATATGCTGGTGGAGAGGACTTCGTGGCCGCAGGAGTGTAGTGCTTCAGTAGGTCTTGAGAGAAAAAGACAAAAGCCACTGCTTTTCTGACCTCTTGTCTGATTGCAGAAGAATTACCTTTGTTCCCAGGTTGCTGTTTTATCAGGAAGAAATGCTTGCTTTTTTTCAGTGAGGAGCATTTGTCTCCCTTGATAAAATGGACAGTCAGAACCTTGCAGCACTGCGTTCCGCTTGTACCTTTTTTATCTTGCTCTAAATGCTTTGACATGTTTCTACCAGTCTGTTAATTCCTATTTCTGGATTTGTCACCCTGCTCTAAGCGTGCGTGCAAGGCATCTGCTCAAGTTCCTCAAGCTTCCTTCTTTAATAAAGGAAATAACAAAACCATTGAGCACCTTGGTACAAGAACAGAATATGTACAGCACTGTAACAAACTGAATGTCATCACAAAAAAACACTTTATAAACCTCTCCAAGTTTTCTGATGATGCTTTTTTGTGACATCATTTTCACCAGACCGCTACTTAAATAGCCCAAGCATAAATTGCAAAGCCCTCACTCAAATGCAGCTAAACCATCACCATCTACTTAGATCAGATATAGTACAAAACTACACATTTTGCTAAAAGGCACCTATACATAAATGGCTGCAAGGAAGTCTTGACAAAGTGACCTCTTATGGTCATATTTTCAGTCACTGATTTCTTCTATAGATTAATTTCAAAAATCCAGAGGATTCTTCTGTAGTATCTACAAGCACTTTCTACCATCACACTCAAGCAAAGTCCAAGAAAAAAAAAGGAAAAACAAGTGAGACAGATGCTCACCAGGTTGGCCTCCTTGCTTTGCCAGCCTGACGTAAGCTGAATCAGTCTCCTTGATCCACTTCCTGCGGCACCCAGAGGACACTTCATGGGGAGCTTTTGCAAGGTCACCGAGACCCGGAATCTGAGATGTTGGAGGAACTGTGGTCTTCGAGGTGACTGACTTCTCTGGTCGTTTCAGTGGCATGGGGTATTACCATCCTGCAGTAACAGAGAATGAACTATAGTAAAAGCATCCCTTTCTCAGGCAACTAACGAATCGAGCCCACCTGAAACTTGAGCAATGTGCTGCATTTCAGCTTGGAGACAGAAGACCAGGCTTGCTCATTCTGGGGGATATAGTACACACAGCTTCTAGAGGATCAGATGCAACAAGGGAACACCTTGGTTTCAGTCTTTAAGCAGCATTCAAGTTTTTACGTAAAGTGTTCTAATAGAGGGGATCATGCATCTTCATGCAGCAAACTATTTCCAAGGACACAAAGAGCAGCAAGAGGCGCAGAAGACAGCAGGAAACACTTAAGCCTTTGGTTTGCTTTCCTTCTCACCCACCAACAAAAACAAAGACAGTACCTGTCTGTTTGCAGGTCTTTATTTGTAAAGCAACCAAACCCAATCCCCAAAGTGCCCACCCCCTAAATAAAATTAAAAAACCAACACCCAGCAACCCACCTCCAGCTACACTGCTTTCTCAGCTTCTAGTGAGCAAAACCAAAATGTAAATAAATCCCCATTAATGGGAAAATGAAGCGGCAGACAAGGAAAAAAAAATCAGTCTAAGGAATTATGCCATTGAAGGTGGACAGGACACTTACTGACGTGACTCCAAGTGCAGAAAATGCCGTTTTGCAGGTGTAAGTAAACTATGTTAAAGCAGGGATCCTGTTAGGCAGCTCTTCAGTAAACACAAACGTTAGCTGTGCTGAAACTCAGCTCCAGAAGAAAAAAAAAAAACAGCCCAAAGCACTCTCCTTGGTAGCAGCGGTAAAGAAACATTATGCTCTGTTTTCTTTCACTTCACTAATTGCTCCATCAGAAACTGCTCGACCTAATTATCCCAAATGGTCTCCTTCTTTTTAATTTGCTGGGCTGCTGCCATCTCGGATGTCTACTGCACGCAACGGCTGAAAATTAAAAAATTTAAAAAAAGAAAATATTGAGATTTCCTCTGAAACGCTAAATTGGCAATCCCAGATAAAAGGCCGGGGGGTAAACAAACAGGAGCCGAGT